CCGCAAGTATCAGCCAGTTTGTCATTGGTTCTACCTATTACAGGATCATTGATTTTTATTTGTAACAATCATAATTACGAGTAATTTACTCATTTACGTTCTTGGAAATAAACTTTTGTGCCAAGTTTCGATGACCCAAACAGCTATAGGCCCGATTCATCCTGGGGGCAATGTCTTAATCTTCAATCTGGATTTAACCCCTTAATCTAAAAAAAAAGATGGCGAAAATTTATCAAATTGTTTGGATAATAAAAAAATTGTGGGAGAACATTCACGTGCCGAAGCAACACTTGCTTGAAAAGAATGAGAGTACCCCCATCACGAATTTCAAAAACAAGAAATATTTCGAACATATCAAATATTTACCACTCAAACATTTTCGCGTTTATTCTTCATTCAATTTGAGCGCAACTCGATAACCCAAGCGTTTTAATATTGCTAAACACTATAAATAACTATCTGGAATTGATAAATGGTATCACGTTTAATTCAGGAATCCAATTATTTCGATTTCATGAAAATATTTCGTTATCAGATTGAATACAGTTCTTGTTATGGAAATGTTTTACGCGCTCATCATTTATTTTATTAATATTTCTTGGTCTTGCCTGTTTGAACAATGGGTTTGCTCTACTCTCTATATTTATTTTGACGTCAAAGTTAATTTCATTTTCTGATCATAATTGGGGTTCAAATAAAATTTGATACTGAAAGCAACGTTGAATTTATTAGGGTTCATTTCGTTAAATATTCAAAATACCATAATCGATAAATATTATAGACTTCATTATAAACAAATAAATTGCCAACGACATACAAGCAATAATTATAATTTATCGTACGAGCAATATCAATTATATCTTTTACACAGGATTTGATGTCTAAGACGACTGAAGCAACAAACGTGCAAATCCTAGTGACTGATGAAGCATCAATAAATATCGGGAATGTATCCGAATCGACACCGATTCATTGCTTCTCAAGCACTCGTCTTTCCATATCACCCAATAAATATATCCTTGTGGATCTATGGGTAGCTCGGATTAGAATGTCTTTGAAATCCGTTGCTAAAGTCTATTACATCTTTGATGAATCAAAGTTCAAAATCGAACTTGTTGGTTTATCGTAAAGTAAAAATTCTTTTTTTATTTCTTAGAAACTCTCAAAGGATTGTAGTGATGTTGTATAAAGTATATCTTATGGCATATCTGGATTCATTATCACAAACTTAAAATTTTATCTGCGGCCACCCGCTTTAATGCGAAGTAAAACAATGACGAAAAAATCCAACATTCCCACGTTTGATCTTAATTTTCCAACGGGTGTTCTGTTTTATCCTTGTCCAGAATGAAACATCTTCGCATGTCATTGATCCGCAACTATCATAGAATATTGCTGTCAAAATTTATATCATGTTATTATTGTGACACTTCTGCATTTTTTTAATCAAGCTCAGATAAGTGTATATACAAATATGAATTTTTTACGTGAATAAGGTAAATATTCTATTTTATTTACAACGGATAAAAGTTTGTCAATTCTGAGGCAAATGATCATTCTACCCTGGAAAGAATTTTTGAAACGTTCTAAGATTAAATTATTAAGAATCTATCACAACAATAAAAGACATAAATTAGTAAAATTCAATTCCTCCATCATCATGTGGGTTTGATCCTTTTATTTCTAGGTGGTTACGACTTAAATCAGGCTGAAGAGCAGTCAAAAAATATAATGCTCTAGACCAGTGGTTCCCAAACTTTTTGTACCATCGCCCCCCTACAGTATTTTATACAACCTTATCGCCCCCCCAGCACTACAAAAAAAAATGTAAAGCCAGGAACGAATATATTACAGACCAAATAAGAAGACAAATCATAGTTTATAGTGTTTTTTAATGAGATGGATGAGCTTGGTGTTCTTCAGCGAGTTTATATTTATATCTAAAATTACTCCGTTTACTGATGGAAAGGCGTTTTCGTTGTTTTGATAGCAATAGTAAGCACGGCAGAAAATCCCCTTTTCACCATATAAGCGGTCGGAAATGAAAGAATCCAGGGTTTTAACTTCTCAAGAACCGCCGTGTACTCTTGCCTTATAGCATTTAACTCTTTAAATTCACCCCATTTCACGTTAAAATAATGAAAACAAAGTTAATTTTCCTAAACTTATATTAATTATTTTCGTACATCTCGTTCGTCCCTACAGCCTGATGAGTGATGACCTGCACCAAAATACATGATATATAACGGTCTTCGGTAAAATTCATCCCCGATTCCTCATCCTACCACAACCTTCAGTTTGATTACCAGTCCATAGAATTAATCAGCCATTTGTTTTGGATTCGTGCAATCGGATGTGGAAGAAGTCGTGACCAACTATCGGCTACGGGGCTCGGCAAATTTCATGTCGCTCCCGGGACAAAATTTAGTGTTGCTAGTCTTTTGCGAGTCGCATATATTTTTTGAAAGTTAAAAACGGAACAGCGTGCGAAAACTGCGACAATTCGTGAACTCAACTCAGTCGTCCTATTAAAAAATTATTACAATGACATTTAATCTGACACTGTCTTGTTGCTGTATTACGCTTGATAGCTTTACGACGACAAGATTGGAATATTTTCTAAATGGGCATCACTAATCCTAGTTCTTTGTAATGTTCATTTTTAAAATTGATAATTGTTCGCACAAATCTGTACTTCCAGTTTATGAAATTTTGATAAAGATTTTCTTTAAGAAGATACATTCTTACGAAAATTAAGCAGTGAACAAATCTCCCGAATAGAATATGAATTTAATTTCCTCATTGCATTGCAATATATTCGAATATTTACTGCGCTATTGAACCCCTGCACTCAGCATCAACTTTTCTGCGTGTTTCCATTTGTCTAATTATAATTAAATTGTAGGCTCGTTAAACGAGTAGCTGTTCAGTAGAATTTTTAGGATATAATAAAATTTAGTCTAAACGTGTCTCACGATAAATTCTGTTACGTAAAAAATGTAATTTAGTTCCTGCGTAGATTATTAATAAAATTCTTAGTCAAAACCGCCGCTTGGATGTTTCCCCGGGCATAGACTTCCTTGTTTACTTCGTGACATTGGCCAATCAGCAAGATGCAAAAATTAACCTAACAATATCCCCTTTCGCATTCGCTCAGACACATTTCTCACAGATTTTCAGACGTGGTCGTGAACATTACCTCATTTTCGCGTTTTTGAATTATAGTCGTTAGTATTAGTTGTTTTTTCGGAAATTTAAATCGAATAAGTCAATGATCACTTTGTCTTCCTAGGAGTTTCAGTTTAATTACAGTAATTAAAAATTAGTATAGAAATAGCTGTGATAAACTAGGCTAAAATTCTTTACCGGTACCTTTAAAAAACAAATTGTTGAATAGCATGAATTAAAATGATAGTTTGAAACAAATACCCCATTTTACAGGCAACAACTCGCGAAACCACTCTTAGAATAAGCACCGACAATTTTAAAATGGTAAAGTATAGGAATAATTTTCCGGGGTCAAAGGTCGGGGAAAGGTCCATTCAGTGAAGCATCCCGGGCCAGGGTATTTTACTCCGGCCGTATTTTGCCGACCACTGGGATACGCAAACTGCCGTATCTTACTGCGAAGACGAGTCCAGCAATCCTTTTGCGTGTGATAATCACCCACGTGATTCAAACCTACGAAAGCACGCAGAGTACAGTATTCAAGTACATCGATGCGCCGAAAAAAAAAACAGGTTTTGCGAAATCGCCCCCCCTACCCCTATCGCCCCCTCTGTATCGTTCTCGCCCATCGGGGGGCGATATCGCCCACTTTGGGAATCACTGCTCTAGACGGGTTATTCTCGTGCATCAGTTGCCTGGCAGGTATCCCATTTTTAAGCTACCAATTATGGTGATTGATTACTATTTGAAATTCCAGCCTATGTTCGAAAGGGCAAATAATAAATATAAGTGCCATTCCAATATTTTAAGCATTCACATCATCATCTACGCTCACTGGAGCTATAAATATATTTCATACCCATGAAATACCTATGAATATACCCTTAATAATATGTCAGAAATGCCGTCAACTTTATATGCTTGTTTCGTCGACATACGCTTCAATCATCTCATTGGCTTAATCGAGCCGTATATTGCCTGGGCGTTTGCGTAATCGCGGGTAAGTAATGCTGGGTGGGACCATCAGAACGAAGCTATACGGATGGGGCGATAATAGGAGGGCTCAGGGCAGATGGAAGGAGGGTGGCAATAGGAGGGTTGAGAAGTGATAGGGAAGTGGGGTAAGGATAGGAGGGTTGAATAGAGGTAGGGAAGTGGGGCGAGGATAGGAGGGTTAGAAAAGGAGGCGAGGATAGCAGGGTTGAAGGGAGGTAGGAAAAGGGGGCGGGAATAGGAGGGTCCAGGGGGAGGAGGGGAGTTGGATGAGGATAGGAAGGTGGAGGGGAAATAGCGAAGTGGGGCCTAACCGTGTATACAATTTTTAGAAAGACGTACTATTTGCTGCTCATTGGAAACTCACTTGTTGGACTATCTGACGGAGTTTTTTACATTCTTCCAATGACACTTGCCGCTAGCTGGTTTCCTGTGAATGAGAGAGCAACAGTAATTGGTATGGCATGGCTTTCAGGTGCTGTGGGCTATGCTTTTTCTGGCGCACTTTTTTCAGGCGTCTTTGGTAATGCCACTGATGCCAACGTAGGGTTAATTTCTCCCAATAGGATTCAGGAAGTTTTTGCTTCAACATTTGGAATGCTTTGTTTTTTATTGTTCGTATCCACAATTTCCTTATGGATATTTGCTGCTGATCATCCTCCGTCTCCCCCTACCGCTGCACAACAAAACATAATAAAACAACGAAATGAAGAAAGAGAAGCTAATTGGCAAGCAAATTTAAAGACAAGTGTCGATTTGCTACGGAACCGGAATTTTTTGTTGTTAACTACATCCCACGCACTAACAGTTTCTGTATATGCTATGACAAGAGTGTTAAATTCTTCCATGATACTGAAGACATTTCCAAGCATGTCAGATTCGTTTCCAGGATTGCTACGGACCATTGGAGCATGTGTAGCAGCTCTCACATCTATCGTGACTGGAAGATTCTTGGATAGGTTCGGTTACTACAAGGAGTCGTGTGTTGTATGTGAGTATCCTAGGCGAGTTTTTAAGATGTTCCAAACTATCGAAAGAAGGTGCAATATTATCGAGCTATATTATATAACTGGAAGAAATTGTGTAGTTCCTCTATTTACGTCAAAATTGTTTGGCTAATGGTCAGTTTTATAATGCAGACAGCTAAAGTTCTCTGACGAAATGAAATATATTGAGTATAGGATAATGGCCAATGTAATGTAATAATGATCAGGAATGTAATTTAAATGAATTTTTCTGATTTTTTCAGCATTCGTTGCGATAGTTCTGTGCTCACTTGGAATATTTCTAGGACATCACTTCAAAAACATTATTGCTATCGGAATGTTATATCCTTCAATAATGTCTGTTAGATTACCGACAGGTGTAATCATACCTGAATTGCTGCTTGAAGCTACATATCCTGTCAATAATCTAATAATGTTGACGCTATACAACATAACTCTCAATGTAGCGGTAGTATCGTTCGTTTCTCTTGAACGATTTATATTGGAAGTTTACGATGAAGCAATGGCGGCATTGGTACCCCTGATAGCTAATATCTTGGCCTTATTTCTACTTTTACTCGCAAATCCGAAGTACAAACGCAGTGCAATGGATGAAAGAAAGAAATCAAACTCTGCATCTCAGACAGATGAATAAAAGGCAGTCGATCATGATGATATCTTGATCTAAGTTGTCCGTGTGATTTTTGTATGGACGTTGTATGGCCACAAAGAATGCTCGGTGGCCACGAGCGAAATATTTTTTGAACATTTTACCTAAATATAAAATATGAAAATTGGTCGAAATACTTCGTTATTACGATATAAACACTATGCAGTTTGCAATGAATTTTGTAATACTTCTCTGTGGAGGTGTTGTTTAGTACGTTCTGATGTCGCGACTGACATTTTGCATTGACAGCGATCCAGGATCGCGAATAACAAACTATGCTTGCCAAGTTAGTTAGATTCATAGAAGATTTCGTGCCGTGCTGCAAAGCCATACAGCAGATTCGATAGTCCGATGACCAGGCTTGTCCACGGGAAACATCCCATGGGATGGGACACACATTTGTATTTCCTATGAGATACGAAATACCGTATGATTTTTGGGGAAATGATGGTAAAACATTTTGTTATAGACTTTGTGTCCATATATTTGAGAAAAGCTTTCTTCCTAGTTATAACGAGCAAAATATATTCAGCATTAACAATAAACTTTGTGAAAGGGCTGATTGACACATATAAAATAGTGACGAATTGAAAGTTAACAAAGACCGTAAATTTTGTTGTTTTGCATGTCTCTTTGTACATGTAGTCCTATTTAGTACACGCTAAACCTAAATTTAACTATTTTAACCAATTTATTCCAATGGGAATCCTGTGGGATGGGACAGAATAATTGCTATGGGGTGGGATGGGAATGGAACAGAAAAATATCTCCAATAGACAAGCGTGCCAATAACACTATGTATAAGAGAGGTGACGATAGGCAGCATATATTCATCTCTACTGCTAACACGATATATAGAAGTAGAATCTGATAATTTTTCTCAGAATGTAATAATCAATATTAAACAACGCTATGATAAAATTGAAAACGGATATCGGCTCTTAACAGTTGGTGGGCAACAGGTCATCTTGTCAGCGGCACCTACAAATGAAAAAATATATAACGATGAAGCAACCAGATGAAAAAATTATCTAAAAGAATACGAAAATGTTTTGGAATGGAAAGTGTAACGAAGACACGGTATTACAAAATTTGCTTGTACGGCCGTTCCTCATGGCAGGCTGAAAATAGATTGATCAACAATCTCAGGTCGAGTCGGATCCATGACTCATTTAGCAATATTTCAGGTGGATATGCCAAATACTCATCGTTATTTTACTAAATATTGTTACCCTATAATGTTACATTGCCATAAGCTGCATCACCATATTGTGCCATTAATGTGACTGTTATGTATATTTGTAGCTTTTCAAAAATGAAATCCAAAACTTCTTCTTATATGGCAGCCCGATAAAACTATATGGGGGAAAGATGACGACTGGCAATATGTATTTATCCCTACTGCTAACAGGGTATACCAAGTTAAAATATGTTTTGCTATTGTATAAAAAAGTGCCTTTGAATGCACTGATATAGTACAATCTCAAATTTTTTGATGGTTCTACCTCAATTCATGGTAACCTAAGAATGAATGGTCTTACAGCTTCATGTCTCATTTTAACAACATTTTACTTAGTTATCACATAAAAACACGAATAAATGAATCAAAAAATACTTTACCGAATATTGTTACTCGGAAATATTATCCTTATGAAGTTGTTATTCCACACGCGGAATATTATACACCAATGTAGGTGGGTTAGCTTGCACCGATTGTATTTTAATGATCATTTCCAGGTGATTCGCGAACGGATCAAATTTCAGCAAACATGATTCAGCACAAATTCATCAAATGCCCTCTGTGCACAAATTTATGTGATTGATGGTGATGGTGCTACATTTTCAGCGTGTGGAAGCAAACAAACGTACGTCGACGTTCAGCGCGTTCCAAATGCACTGTAATTGGCAATTTCAAAGATTTCATTTTACAGGATCAGGTTGCGGGCCATAATACAGAAGTTTTATTTTACAGAATAAATAGAGTGAAAGTAAATTAGTGTTATATAGAAACGAGGTATTATTACTATGGGGATTGGCTTGATCATTCCGATTGTTTTGGTCACTTCTGTACAAGGACAATCTCTGAATAGTAAGTGAAATTCAAAATATTATTCTATATCTTAATACTTACTTGTATATATTTATGTTTCTCGTTGCTGCGCATTGTCCGATTATGATTGCAATCTAATCTAAAATTCGTTAGATAAATATCAGATTTCCGCCCTTATGTTAATGTTTGCACTGGTAATAGTTCTCCAAATCACCGTTCCATCTGGATCTTCTGTTATCTACACAGCATCAGTGGATTCACAGTCAGCATTTGCGTGTCAGTGGTAGCTTACGATTCCTCTATCAATAATATACTATTTCGCAATTGTTTCTGTACGAGATCTAAGGTAACATTCATTTTTTTCTCATTTGATCACTTGATCAATATTTCTAGACACGTGTGATTCGTCACCTTGCAAAATCGGGGGAACTTGTAGAAATTCGACTGAAGAGCCGTATTACAAGTGCGCTTGTCGTCCAGAATATCAGGCAACTCATTGTGAAGGTGCGTAATATATATCGATATATTGGATATTTTGTGTTATTTTACTGTACTGTCTCGAAGCATTTATTTGCATTAAACATATCTTGACGAATAATTTTACATAAATCTCTAAATCTTTGAATACAAAAGTTTTAGTGCGAATTGCGTCAAAATGGCGTAAAATAAATCTTCTGAACACAAGGATGCGATATTGTTATGAAATTAAAGAGAAATCAATAAATAATAATTAAAGTTATTACAAATTTATAAAAGATGTCTTTTTATTCTATTTAATGCAGAAAAAAGATACATCACCAGCTCAACAAACAACTGCAAATAAAACGTCAACCTTGGTGATAAAAAAACATTTAGTGAGACGAATTCAACTTGTAGCAGTCTTGGAGGAGCGATAGAAATGATGAAAACAACAGAAATACAGGACTTGGTTTAAGAACAGATAATAACCCAGTATGGATATCCAAAATACGCAATTGAGTTTTGGATTGGTGGATACAGAGTTAATAATTCATGGATATGGGTTGATGGTACAGACGTTCCATTCAAACTGGGCATCAAACTACAACACTTCCAAGGACAGTATGGTACTCAGTTCGCACGGATTAGGAATAAAAAATATGAAATGGTTTACTAAATTCAACTACATGACAAAAGGCTTCATATGTGAGATATCAGGTACGATTTACAATTTTGTCTCAACACATCGCACTCACATGGAGCTCATCCGGTTCATATATTAATTTATGTAACCGATAACAAATTTACACATATGTCGTGATAAAGGTAGTTTTACAAAAACGGGTGTTTAATGTAGACTGTTAGTTTTAAACAATTTTTGCAAATATTTCTTCATTGATTAGGATAAATATATTTTTTGTTCCAACTCAAGATTGAAGATATTTAGAAATCATTCAGTCGTTAACTTTAGATAAAAATTAGATAAAATTTTGATTCCTATTGAAGTCGCAAGAGATATTCAGTCACACAAAGGACATGTTTTTTCTCACATTCTCAGTAAAGAATTTTAATTTAGGAGCGGAAAAACTTTGTTTTTATTTTACATGCATTACATGCCTATATTATATATATAATTTTTCATATAGAACAATCAATTTTGATTTGCATATTATATTATTTACACAATCTGCAATTATTCGATCTTGTTCAAATGTAGAATTTCTGGAAATTCAGTACAAAAATGACCTTGATAACAAATAAATTAGCACGTAAAAGGTATTGCATACCTATAACATTGGGGGTGTTCTTTTATCGGCCTAGTCCGTGTTTCTGGGTCGTATGAAATACGTTGTACATAAACACTAATTAGTTTGTATCCATCAGTCCATTCCCTCTCTTTTCTATCATTTATATTTTATGCAACATTTAACCGACAAACATATGTATATATCAGTTGTCCACTGCGACACAAATCATTAAATACAGAGGCATCTCCATTTACATTATAAAAGCCCTTATTTCTCGTAAAACATCATAAAAAATATATATGTTCCCAATTTCATTTGCTGTTTAGATCAATTTCTTGATTTTCACTTTCTTTTGCGTCGTGGTGGAAAATGCCATGACTTCGAAAAAATTTGAATGAAATTCGATCATTTCTAAAGATAATATTGCCTCAAGGTTCATGCTTATCTCCTGTTTTATTCAATATATTGGTGAATGATCTTCCATCATTTGTAAATAATGCAAACTCAGGCCAATTTGCAGACGATTTTGCTATATATAAAACCGGAAGAGATGTGAAATCTCTAGAAAGAACAATGCAAATAAATTTGGACAAAATAAATGAGTGGTGCGAAATATGGGGAATGGCTCTATCTGTCACAAAATGCAAAGCAATGCTATTCAGCAGAAGAAGACATAATCCCAACATCAACCTCAAAATATCAGAACAATTTATACCAATAGTCTACAAGACATAATATCTTGGTGTCATTTAACTAAATTGGAAAGACCATGTGGAATATATGATAACAAAAGTTAAACAACGATTGAATATTCTTAGATATATCAGTGGAAACAAATGGGGATCAAGACTGCATACAATGGTTCTTCTTTATAGATCACTAATTCGCTCAGTATTTGATTATGCATGCCAGCTATATTGTTCTGCATCTAGGACACTTTTGACAAAACTAGATACAATTCAGAATGATGCATTGCGTATCTGTCTTGGAGCTATGAAAAGCACACCGATTGATGCAGTACTACATGCCTGCTCCGAAATACCACTTACCATACGAAGAAAACAGATCTGCCTGAATTATAGAAGAAAAATTTCAAACTCACCTCGTCTCATTTCCGCAAAAGTACTCCATCAGACCTGGCACGAGGAATATGTAGGACATCAATTCACTTCGTTTGAAAAAATTACAAGAGAAGAATATCGATTGGCAACAACTGAATCTGAAACAAAAAAAGACATTAAAAAATATATGGAAAACAAATGGAGCCTAATTTATGAACAAAATCAAAAGGCATCTCAGTATAAAAAAATCTTTCCCAAATTTGATCCTAACTATCTAACAACGATCAATGAAACTCGACCACAAACTATGAACATATTCAGACTACAAACAGGTCATTGTAAATTGAATAAACATTTTTCAAAAATCAATCGAACAATTAGAGACAAATGTGACCAATGTACTGGCACAATAGAAGACGTAGAACACTATCTCATAGAATGTCCAAAATATGAAACTTATAGAAAATTGACTAGAAATAATGCAAGAAAACTGAATGTGACCTTCAGTTCTGTAGCAATATTAGGAGAACACATAATGAGGCAATCGATAAACATATTTGTATTACAAACAAAGAAAAGACTCTAAACAAACTTTTATATTTTAAATGTAACGTTATATAATATTTTAGCCTACTCCTTTAATATTTTGTTCTTTATACTGATATATAAAGTGTATTACATTTTCACATTGTAGTCAGTACACCTAAATATTGTATTTCTCATATGACTGTACATTGTTAATCAATTATTGTATTTAATTTTCACTATTTATATTTGAATTACCACAACTACTAGCATAGTTGTCTTGATATAACATGCACCATGTCACCAGAGCCTCAGGTCTGCAGGTGCAGAGCCCTACGTATCTTACATTGCTCCCATACACGGTGCAAGTCAAGGTTGTAACGTTTTGATTCCATATTTTGTTATATTTATTACTGTGCTCCTTTTAAAGAAGATTATTCCATGTTCGATTGCTCCCGTCGTTGACATGTTGCTGTTGGTGTATCGCCCAAATCCTTGCATCAGTAACGTTAGACCGAAATTTTTATTATCTCAATGCTGTAAACATGGTCTAAATAGTGCACATCGTAAAGAATATTACACGATCAATAAGTTATTGATCTGTTACCGTACAGCTGTAATTACCTGCCTACCGTATGTCGCTAGTCCAATAGTTAACTTAAACACGTCCTATCACAGGCTTTAACATAGCGTATGTAGATTCTACATTTTCAAATTAGTAAGTATTGTGATAACAATCTAAATGTTACCGGTAATTCCGAATGCTACCAAATATTTTCACTCAGCATCACGATACGGTACTTACCGTACCTTCCGACCAAATTCATCCTCTGACGTAGTTCACTTCCATGGCAACCACTTCAAACTGTACACAAAGAACCCTCATGCGGTGCATAATTTTGCAATCCTATTTGTGCTGTATATTTGTTGATCGTATTAGTAGTTATTGAAGATTTAATGATAACTATACTTATACTTATGTAAAGTGTATATATTACTTGTTCCGCACGAAATGCATTCATTGCGAAGTGCTTATGATATATAATAATAAAAAAAAAAAAAAAAAAGATAATATTCTAATATATGAGTTATTGATTTGAATTTTTACAGTGGTTGACAGATGTTTGTTATCGGACACGTTTAGTATTTAGTATTTTTCAATATTATGTTGTTGTTGTTCTTGTTCTTGTTCTTTGACACGTTTTTAAAAAATCGCTTTTCTCTTCGAATACTGGACAAATTGCTTTGAAATTTTCAGTGGTTAAAGATTAATTTCTTCGCTAGAAGGCTATTACTTTTATTTATTTCAAAATTTTGCGTGAATTCTATGAAATTTGATATTTCGTCTAAAATTTTGCTGTATTATTTTTTATCCATGGGAACACGGATTTTAGTCAGTGTCATGACTGGCTGTACGTTTTGATTCTGCAAAATTCTTGCTACTGGAAATTCAGAACTTTTTTGAGGGTACCGGTAGCGTCAAAGGTACCGGTAAAGACTGATTCGCTCTGGTCTAACGTGTCCATATATTTGTGCGTAGCTCTCTTGTTTCCATGTCATAATTCGGGAACTTGCACACAGATCGGTTGTCGAAGAAAGTGCGAAGGTATGTGGGGTTATGTGGGAGAACATTGTGAAAATAGTAAGTTTCATCTTTTTTTTTGCAAATGATTTCAGAATAATAAGGTTAGAACAGCATCAGCCAGTTTTTCATTAATGCTGAGTGTTGATACTCATTAACTGTTATATTCCATTTTGGAACAATTGGAAATACGGGTAATGACGCAATTTAAGTTTTTAAAATATCAATTTTATACGATATTTTTGTTATAATTAGTTCGCTTATGAACCAAACAATTACTGCAGTTTATTTTACAGAATAAGTAAGGTGAAAGTATATTAGCGTTAAATATAAACGAAGTATCACTACTATTGGGCTTGGCTTGATAATTTCGATATTGCTTTGTTCCCTTCTGTACAAGGACAATCTACTAATGTTCGTACTTTATTGATTCTCCTTACCTTCAAACGCATAAAAAGAATTTACCCTTTTATTGTTGCTAAATACGCTATACGGCGTCATGTTAGTCAGCAATTTCTTTGTTATATTCACGCTCACCAGAGCATGGCGTTATCAAGCGATACTGATTAGTCACTCTTCCTGGCTGACTCGCACTATATTTAATTTATGTTTTCTATATTGCAAGTCAGGATGACATACTGCAATTATTTTTTTTCTCGATGTTTGTTTAACGTCATCTGCTTTTCAAATCGGAAAATAAGGTGTTGCTGATACGATAACTTGGGTTTTTCGCGGCGCCTCGTCAATTGCGGAGATATTGTATATTAGTTTATTTCAATTGATTGTTTAATATTACATTTGTTTGCTTGTGTCTTTGCAATATTTCTTGCACGACGATATAAAATATCTGAATCTAGTGTTAATTCTTAGTTCATTAAGTCATGCTCTCATCTGTATCTGCTCATATCTACAACGCATCAGTGGATTCACATTCAGCATTTGAGCGTCATTGGTAGTTAACAAATCTTCTAATTCCAATAATAGGGTTCGCACAGGTTCTCGTTCTCGATCCAAGATAAAATTCATTTTTTTCATACCGCTCAATATTTTTAGACGCCTGCAATTCGTCACCTTGCAAAAATGGGGGCACTTGTGATCTTTCGACTAAAGAGCCGTATTACACATGCATTTGTCATTCAGGATATCAGGGAACTCGGTGTCAAGGTACCTAATAAATATTATCGTTTCTATACCAAAACCGAATAAAAAATATGGATTCTTCTGTAGAGTTGAGACGATTCATACGAGATATTTTGTGTCTTTTACTGTATCGTCCGACCATCGTCCGACGACGGCAAGCTTCCCAGCAATCTTCTCGCACATAATCATTAATCACGTGATTCGAACATGCAAATTTAAGCAGGGTGCTATGGCAAACTTGAATGAGTGACCTTGTACGATCATATTGTTGGCCAATTATGGCGACCCAAAAAATTTGTGTTTATTTAAAATTTAGGTTGATTTAATTCTCAAGCGCGGTTGCGTCTTGTTTGTTGCGGCAATGTGGCATCATTTCAAGCTTGGCATAATGATTTTTATTTGATTGTAATATTTGAAGTTATTGATTGTTAATCTCAAGCTTGACGGCATTTCTATAACAGGAGGTGAATCAATGACCACGGAATCGTTTAGTGCAAATTGTGTCAAAATGACCTAAAATAAGTCTTTGAATACTTGAATGAATACGAAACATTTTGAAAATTAATAAAAGTTGTCATTTTATTTCATTTTATGCAGACAGAAGATTCATCAATAGCTCAACGAACAACTGCAAATATCACGTCAACTTAGGAGATATAAAACCATTCGCTCAGACGAATTCAACTTGTAGCAGTCTTGGTGGAGCGATAGCAATGATGAAAACAACAGAAATACAAGACTTGGTTGAAAGTCAGATAATAACTCAGTATGGAACCGGAGAAGGAGCACTTGAGTTTTGGATTGGTGGATTCAAATATAATAAAAGATGGATATGGGTTGATGGTACAGACGTTCCAACAACAGGAAAAGATTCAAAATGGTCAACAAACCACCCCACTTCCAAGGGAAGTATGATTCTTGGTTCGCATGACAGCGATAGAGAAAATATGGGATGGTTTGTTAAACCAAAGCATGAGGAGCGAGGCTACATATGTGAGATATCAGGTATAATTTTAAAAGATAGTACAAGAGTAAACCTATTTGCAAATCCTAACTGCTTTGTGTTTAAGACCAACATTCAATAGCACAAATCTATACATACAAATGACACGGCTTTTCTAATATCTTTAACATTAGTTTCTTGATATTATTTCTTTTGTGCGCATGACAGGAATGTATATTAAATACCGTTTTAACGTTCTAATTTAGTATTAGTAATGATTTGAATTTTTACAGTCGTTGACAGATGTTTGCTATTTCCATGTCATAATTCGGGAACTTGCACACAAATTGGTTGTCAAAGAAAGTGCGACTGCATGTGGGGTTATACGGGAGAAAATTGTGAAAATAGTAAGTTTCATCTTTATTATCGCAAATGATTTCAGAATATCAAGGTTGGAACATTAAATTATAACTATTGTCCGCCATCATTACATTGGTGTGGTGTTATTATGGTCCCAATCCTAAATTTTAATGGAATTATCAATCTTAAAAAATTGCAATAATTTAATAAATAGTTGGAATGTGGATGATAAAATAGTAGTGAGGAACATCCTTTGCCTCATGCCTGAAACTAATTAGATTGATTCCCATAAAAAAAAAACAGGAATAGTATAAAATAATTTTCATTCACAGAACTTCCTTGTTAATTAATTATGTAAGGTATTTATCTTGAAATCGGGAGTTTCACAGATTTCTTGCTTCCAGTCAGGAATTTCAATTCAATGGAATCGAGAAAATTACAAGATGGGAAGAGTGTATAAACTTCATCTGGAGGTGATTGAGTATTTTATACATGAAAAAGTTATCGTTTATTATTTGTGATTTGGAAAATACAAATCGGGAAATTCTGAAATTATTTTTATATTCGATTGAATACAGTTCTTGATATTGAAATGTATTTCGCGCTTCTTATTTATTTTACTCGTATTTCTGGGTCACGCTTCGATAACAGTGTTTATTGACTTTATTATTGCAAAAAAAAGTTTGAAGTGAGCTTCAAATTGCAGAAAATGCAAATATATCGATCAAAAATAACTTTTGCTCATTTGAACAAAGAATTCACTCTATTTCTTTTGACGTTACAGTTATTTTCATTTTCCGATCACATTGACGAAAAATAAAATTTATTAGGGTTCAAATACCATAATTAATAAGTATTATAGACTTCATTATAGACAAATAAATTGCCAACGAAATACACGCAATAATCATAATTTGTCGTACGAGCAATATCAATTACATCTTTTACACAGGATTTGATGTCTAAGACGACCAAAGCAACAAACGTGCAAATCCTAGTGACTGGTGAAGCATCAATAACTATCGGGAATGTATCCGAACCGACACCGATTCACTGCGTCTCAAGCACTCGTCTTTCCATATCACCCAATAAATATATTCTTGTGGATCTATGAGTAGCTCGGATTAGAATGTCTTTGAAATCCGTTGCTAAAGTCTATTACATCTTTAACTCCTTGAACTCCGAATCCCCTGAACGACGCTACTCTCTCACCCTGACCTCCCACGGCGTCGCATCGATTTGACGCGTTAAAAAATTGTAATAATAGAATATAAAGGCCATTTAATATACGTTTATTATTTGAATGTGGGACGAAAATAAATGGCCAAAGTGAAATATTTGATCCTCATGCATTTATGAAATCCGCCGGAAACATCAAGGTTAATTATTCATCGTTGGATATCATGAAAATTTAATAAAAAAACTGATAACGGATACGCGGAAGACATGGTGGCACCAGTAGCTCATCTGGTCAGTGTTTTACATTCTGCGGCCTCAATAGATTTTATAAATTACTCAATATACGCTATATTCCTGATATCGCTATATTTACAATGGATTTTAAACGAAAGCTATGTCCAGATGAAATATTGGATAGTATTCATCTATCGGAAGAAGAAAATATGGCACAAGAAAGTCCAGCATTGGCGCTAAACAATGCATCCATTGATATCTTCCATCATTCCGTTATTAGAAATCCGTATTTTTGCTATTCGTATTTTTCATATCTTCATGCAATTAAAACGGCAATAACACTGCATATTGTGTGTTTTAGTCGAACAGATTTTGAGGCGAGATGTAATGCGTAAATTTTCCCGTGTATCGTTTACAAGTCGTTAGTCGCTTTCCGAGTACGAACTTAGGTAAATGGCGTTACGAGCATGCGTGGAAAAGTGTTTTTCGTATGGAACGTAAACGTGCTACGTGCCAACGTAATTGCTTAACGTCGCTGCGTAACAGCGTGAATGTGTTAGGTCGTTATTTACGTCACCTTGACGTCGCCTCGATCTTGCGACAAACAAAATCACGAATAAAAATGCTTCTAAAATTTGAATGGTGCAACATAATTTCAATTTGATTTAATTTTCAATTTAGGCGCGGCGGTGTGGCTCAACGGGCTAAGCGTTACGAATACGCTCGCCACCGCACCTCTAATTACTCTGCATGGGTTCGCAGGTTCGAATCCCATGCAGGGATGGTTATGTGCGAGAGGATTGCTGGACTCCTCGCCGTCGTTGGGTGGTTCACGTAACCGCTGGTCGGTTACGGCTTCCTCCACCACCAAGTCCATGCTTCCGAAAACAAACAATATAACTAATCACATACCCGACTTGGAATGGTAACCGGACGAGAGGCCGTGGTTCGCCATATGAATAAGCCGTCTTATCGGCTTATCCTAATGATATCACTGGAAAACTATCTTCAACTTCTACAAATATTGTCAATAATGTACTAGGTTTATTCGAAAACAAATGGAAGTTTTTTCAATTAGATTTAGGAGTTTTGCAGAAGTTTTTATGCTTTTTAATTTTGTCAATTTTCATAAGATGATCACACAATTTTATCTCAATTTTAAAATTATATCTAGTCCTGTAGATTATCTTTCACACGATGTAAAACTTATCTAAATATAATATATGGTTCGTAAGATATGAGGGCTTCAAAGTTGCATAGCTCATACGGGATGCCAAAGCCGCTAAAGCGGCTACAAGTTGAATTCGTCTTGGTGAAGGATTTTTTATCAGCAAGGTTGACGTGATATTTGCAGTTGTTTGTAGTGCTGTTGATGAATCTTCTTTCTACATAAAATGACAAAATTAGATTAATTTTCAAAACAATTTCATTTTAACAATGCTTAGAAGGAAATAATCGGCTAACTATTCTCATACTTGACATGAACTAGTAAATGTACGATGGGCCGTGGTACGCCAAATTTCTAATCCGTTTTATCGCCTGTCCTCTTCTCAGGGAAAAACATAGAATTCCCATCCTGTCGTAAATATATATGACATAATAAGAACTTAGTGTTAACATTTTATCCTCTGACGCCCAATATACAAAGCGCGATTTTGAATTTCTGCGAGCGATATTAATTGGTTGATTTCAATCTAGAATTACGAAAGACGTTTCATTTAAATTCTGTAAATAGGATATAGAGGTATTAGTTTGCTAATGTGTTGAAAATAGTTTTTTGAGGTTTTCTTAATTGTAGTCATAAAAGTTACCACGAGAAGAGTTTGGTGAAACACGAAATTTCTATTTTCCACTTCAATCCATTCGGCTCAAAGGTTTCAAGTTATGATTTATTAATTAATTTAAAACTGGATTTCACGATAGTAAATAATATGATTGTGATTTTCAAGATTCAGGTAAAAAAAATGGCGCGTCCGTAATATGTGAATCAAGATGGCCGACACCGGACAGTAAAATAGCTACAAACACCCAGGATATCCTCTATAAATTGTCTCAACTTTACAAGAAAATCTATTTTATATTTGATTTTGATAGAATTGACAATATATAATACGTACCTTCAGACTGAATTCCTTGATATTCCGACAGACAAGCGCATCTGTAATACGGTTCTTCATTCATATTATGGCATGTTCCCCAGTTTTGACAAGGTGACGAATCGCAAATGTCTAAAATTATTAAACGAATAAAAAAATTGGAATTTTATTTCAGATTAAGAACTGGAACAATTGCGAAATAGTATATTATTGTTAGATAAATCGTTAACTACTGACACACAAATGCTGAGTGTGAATCCAATGATGCTGTGTACATATGCTGATGACATACAGACTATGACCTGAAGAATTACAAACAAAAACTAGTCCAAACATTGATTGGTTCGCTGACATCTGTGAGCAATATCTCCTTCGACAAAGGCGGAAACCTTATATTCATCTAACGAATTTTATTTTGGATTGCAATCTTAATCGGACGATGCTTAGCAGAAAGAAACAAATAAAATAATAATATGAATCCCACTTACTATTCCGAGATTCTCCTTGTACAGAAGTGACCAAAGCAATTAAAATGATCAAGCCAAGCCCCATAGTTGTAACAACTCGTTTCTATATAATACTAAAAGACTTCCATACTATTTATTCTGTAAAATGAAACCTCAGTAATATTTTCCGAAATCTGATCCCGTCATGAAGCATCGGAATTGCCTATTACAATACATTTGGTAGATACTGAACGTTAACGTACGATTGTTTGTTTGCTTCCACACGCTGAAAATTTAACACCGCTATCAATTATATAAATTTGCAAAGTTCACAAAGTGCATACGTTGAATTTGTGATTAATCATATTTGCTGCGATTTGATCCGTCCACGAATCACCTGAAAATGTTCATTGAAATATAATCGGTGCAAACTAAACTTTTAACCTACATTATCGTAGCCTACTTCCGCGTGTGAAATAACAATTTCATAAATGACATATTATGTTAAAGAAGCTAAGAATAATAGTATTTCCGGGTAACAATATTTGGTAAAAAGTATTTTGGTTCATTCATTCGTGTATTTATGTGATAACTAGGTAAAATGTTGTTAAATGAGACATAAACTGTTAGTCTATCCATTTTTCGGTTGCCATAAATTGAGTTAGAACTATGAAAAAAAAAATCGTTTCAGTCTATGTCGTACTATATCTGTATGTTTAAATACACTTTTTATGCAATAGCAAAACATAGTTTACATTAGTATACCGAGTTAGCAGTAGGAATAAATACATAATGCAAATCGTCATCCTACCGCCACAAAATCATCTCTTTTAACGAGTGGCATGATCGCAGCGGCTGTTTTAGAAGCCGTTACACAGAAATTTACAATTCCGATTGTAACATCTCTTGAAAATCCTAGCCCCGCGCCTGAGTCAATGTTAAATGAGCCTCCCATATGGCACAGGCTAGGGCAGCAATCGAATATTGCGGCTCTTTGTTCTTGTAGCTCTGTGAATCAAGGGACCTACAGCAGGTTTTTGTTCGAAGCAGTAGGGATTCAAAGGAAGGGAAGCATGAAGCCAAATACTCCTCACTAGTTCATGTCGCAGCTACTACCAGAGTAGAAGGCGAACGCGATAAAAATGAGTCGCATTAAGGTGGTTCAGATCTGTCAAAACAACCTTTTTTCTTTTGATTTTTTAACTTGTTTCAATTTCGTCGTATACTGAATTGTAGCATCATTTGTATTTTATAGGACTTCTATGTTATTCCACCATGAGTGGTTTAATAGTCAGCACTGCTGCTACCGGCCGTAACTATTCCAAATGTTGCTAAGCTAAGATTTGTTTAATTTGTTTAATAAGCTGTATAGTTCAGTAGATAGAAAATAGATCAGTGGGTTATTAGGTTTGAAATCTTTGTACTAGTATCTTTGTACAAGAAATATTTTGTAAGAGACAACGTCCATTGATTTCTGCGACATCAAAAAAGAAGATGACCTCACCAAACGGACATTGATAAGTAACATCAAACACTTTCTAATGCATATTATACTAAACAAATAGGATTATTTGGAGAAAATAGTTCCACTGTTGTTTTCACCATTCCTAACGCTTCGTTCTGTGCTTTATCGAGAGTCTGAGTCTGAATTAGAAAGTATAAACTATAAAAGATGTAATATTGAGGTAGTCTGGGTTCCGTAGTAATAAATCAGACTTAACGATAAAATTTAGTACGACATGCTGTTAGAAGTTTTTCTTCTGTTTTGTGCTTAAAATCTGCGCATTTTTGGGTTTAAGGTTGTACTTATTAAATCATACTACAATTATGAATAAACACATATGTGAAATATGCTTAAAGCAGTTCTCATTAAAATGTATATTGACAAGGCATCAGAGTTCAGTACACATCAAACGAAAACACAAATGTCATGAATGTGAGAAAATATTTTCAAGGCCTGACAGTCTAACTCTAAGTAGCCATTATAAGAGATTTTACAGACACAACAGAAATGGCGTCTTTCACAATCTTTAGAAGACAAAATAACAAATTCGCGTATTGTCAATTGTTGTTGAATTTCTCCATTCTCATTTGTATGTTTTGTTTTCAATAAACTAAAAATATGAAAATTCTAGATCAAATATTCGAATACAGACCCAGTCAGACTTTATAGATTATTGTCTATTGTCTACTTC